ATAGGGCTTAGAGAAATAGAGGGGTATAAACATGTTTAGGTGGCTTAAGTATGGGATGAGGGTTGGGGGAGGAGCTGTCTGCAGGGGAACAGCCAAAGGTGAGGCTGGCGGGGAAGAGAAACACAGGGCCCAGACCCTGCCTGGCCTTGGGAGCAATCTTAAGGACAGAGCGTCCTTGAGGAGCTGTGTTTGGTGTTTATGTCTACATCTCCAGGCATTCCCGGGCACAGAGCACGTGGTAGGAATTCAGCCAATCTTTGTCCAGTGGGTGAATGCGTGGAAGAATGAAAACTCAACAAATGATCAAAGAAGCCCATGTGCCTTTTCTTTAAGAAAAGTGTGTTATATCCAACCACAAGCCATGCACAAGCATAATTTTACATATGAAAACCCAAGTTAAGTAGATACTAGTGCATTTTCATATTTTACACCTATTCCTGAGTTTTGTAATATAGAGTTTGTTAAAAAAAAAAAATCCAACTCCACAATTTGCTGCATTTGCTTTTCAACAAAAATCAAACTATATAGTTAGCTTACTGATAACCTCCAGTAGCACTGTGAAACAATGACATTTATAAGCTATGTCAAGGCCTTGCCTATTCCAATTCAGTCCTTAATTTTCACTCAGTAAGAAAAATTTTTGCTGGAACAACTGTTTTCATGTAAATGGGATTATTTAATTTCAAATAGGATTCAGATGCCAGAAAATAAAATTTCATATAAATATCTCTTAATCTCTCCTCCACACTCTACACTCTTCTTGAATATTCTTGCATTAAAAAAAACCCCTCAAAACCCCCCCCCAAAACAAAACAAAAAAGCGCACCCTGCCCTGGCCAGGGGCTCAATTAGTTGGAGCATTGCTGTACACACCAAAAGGTTTCTGATTTGATTCCCAGTCAGGACACATACCGCGGTTTCGGCATGATCTTGGTCAGGATGAGAATGGAAGGCAATTGATAGATGTTTCTCTCCCACATCAATGTTTCTCTCTCTCTCTCTCTCTCTCTCTCTCTCTCTCTCTCTCTCTCTTCAATAAAAATCAATAAAAATGTATCTTGGTTGAGGATTTTTTTTAAAAAGCTAGTAATTCTCTACTGAGATAGTTGTGAATCCAAGGTTCCTTCTACCAGAGTTACATCTTCCTTTTTGATTGACTGAGAGAAGCAAGGCCCTCATGATTTACTTCCCTTCCACACTTTGTCACTCCACTCCTGGCCAGACTAGATAAGCAGCTCACAGTCACTGAGCCCCTGAGAGGTGGGTTGCAAACATGTGCTGGGTATGTCCCTGTGTGGGACTTCTGAGACTCCAAGGATGACCTGAAATGATCTGGTGATCCCTGACCTGTCTGAATAAAAGTTTTGATAAATTGTTTTGCTTATGCCTTCCTTTCAGTAGCTTGTACTATTCCAATGATGTTATTGCTCCTTTGCCCTCTACTTGCTCCTAAGCTGATTTTTATATATATTTTATGTCCTTAACAAGAATGCCTGCCTTTTCCTGGTGTTTGCTAAATTGTTTGCTAAGTGAAGTGTCCTGGAAGCATGTCCTGTGGGACCTGTACTCTTCAGCTCATCCTGGAGTGCTCGGCACCACACCTTCTTCCAGCCATCCAGCCCAACATCAGCTGGGAGGGTGGGGGGGCAGGTAAGAGAACCAGAAGGGAGCTAGGCAGCTGGAAGACATGAAAGGGGCAGTTCCTTAACGCCATCAGAATCCCTATTGAGTTTCAACAGCCTCACAAACCAGCATTTGGGGTAAACATCCAGTCACAGAGGTAAATAAAACGGACTTTCTTCAAAGGAAATGCTTTTACTACAATAACTGTGTTGTTTTTTTTTTAATCCAGTGGATTAAAAATTAAACACATTTATGAAATCTGGCATATTTATATATTGTATCTGAGCAGATATTCAAGCTGCATTATAATACAATAATAAAAAAAAACAAAACCTCTCTCAGTCTGCCTGTTAAGTCTTTATAAGTCTTTGTGCCATTGTAACGGCAGTGCTAATTATCAAGCAGAGACATGATAATTATGCTTTTTTTTTTTTTTGCTATAAGAAGGAATCTTTTTCAACACCCACGTGCTGTACAATTTCCTGTGACCCTGCAACACTACTCCGGTATGGCCCAGAAATTTATATTTCATTCCAAATGCAGGGAATCGTCTTCTTTCTCTCTCCCTGCCAATCCCTTTTTTTCTTGTGAGTAAACTGTTTTCAGAGGGTTAAGGGAGAGAGGTAATGATCCAAATGGGAAATATAAAACTAATGACCCTTCATGAAACATATTATGTTCCTCATTAAATTTACTCAGTTAAATGTATTCTATTAAATTAAAATAAATAGGATTTAAAATTTTACCCAGGAGTAATACCTGAACTCTCCACTTCATGCTAGCTCCATTCTAAAAGCAGATTCCTCCGGTCCCTGATGTATCCCAGGCTCTTTGGCCTTCAACACAATTTATGTCTAGTGCTGTGGAGGCGTTCAAACTTACTGTGTATACGAATTGTTGAAAAAACGTGTTATAAATGCAGATTCCTACTCAGACCCCCTCTCTGCTCCACCATGAATCTCAGGCATACTGGTTTCAATGAACCACACTTTGAAAAAGACTCTACGTGGAGGTGACGTACATTGTCTTGGGTTTATGGCATCCCACTCTACTTCCTCCGTCATCTGTTATTGCTACCGTGTGGAAAAGGCAAGTAGGCGAAGAACGTGTGATTTGTGTAGTTGAGCAGGACAGACGTACATGTGTTAGACTTAACTGTTATTTCATCCAAAGAATCAAGCTGTGGAATCCTCACCCCTAGTGTCTTTTGGAGAGATTCAGAGCTTTAATATATTAACTGTAAGATAATAAGGCTGCTTCTTTACTCTCTATTAAAAATACCACTTTTTAAAGAATTATGTCATGAAGGACTTTCAATTCAATGCCTTTACATTTTAGATGAGGGTGGGAAGGCAGGTAAGAGAACCAGGAGGAAGGCTTCTTTAATATCATCAGAATCCCTATTGAATTTCAACAGCCTCACAAACTTGCATTTGGGGTACATATCCAGTCGCAGAGTTAAATAAAACGGACTTTCTTCAAGGAAATGCTTTTCCTACAATAACCGTATTTTTTACGCAGTGGATTAAAAATTTAACACATTTATGAAATCTGGCTTATTTATATATTGAACCTGAGCAGATATTCAGCCAGAGAAGTGGCTAACTTGTCACATCGAAAGACTGTGCAAGACAAAGGTTCAAATGCAAGCCCTCTGACTTTCCACCCAGTGTTCTTCTCATGGCCTGCAGAGAAGATTATGGAAGTCTACACAGTGGTGAAGTTGTAGTTGTCTTAAAGTCACATAGGATATTATTGAGAGAACCCCTCAGCAGATGAGTTTTCTAGATTTTAAACTCCTTTAAGAGCGTAAATTTTAAAAGTTGACGAATTTTGGACTAGTTTAACCTAGCCCCCCTCCTGGCTCCACATTTCACATCATGTTAAGGACTGGAACAGTTCAAGTCTATTGACAAATTCCAAATCAGATTCTATTGTTGCCCTGAAATATTTGTTGTAACGATTTTGAAAATGAGATGAAGTTTTGAGTACAGAGTTGTTTTATGTTTGGAGCTTATGTTAAATGTATATGAGCAGGCATAGACTGACAGACAGATCGAAACACACACACACACACACACACACACACACACACGAAAGCACCTATGAGATTTGACAACTGACTAGTGCTGTTCATATTCATGTTTCTTTTTATATTTTCACATAGATGTGCACATGAGTAAAATATTATCTGAAATACATAGTATGTAAGTTTTATAAATGATCTTAAATTTTAAGATTGAAGTAAACACACAATGAAAATGATCCATCAATGAAAAACAAAAAACGATTTGCAATAATGCAAATCTGAAAGTATTTTAAACACATACCACATTAGGCCTAGTTATCACTCACTTTTGATTCTCTGAAATTATTTGCTTGTATTATTAGGCAAAAAATTTTAACAAATTGATCAGTATAGTAATTTTGCAAAATTTTGCAATAAAAGCAAATAATCTTAGATAGTTATAACAAATAAAGTGAAGACCTATGTGAGAGGCAGATAAATTTGATCAGGGTCAGTACTAGAGTTTTTTTTTAACATGGAATCAGTCTAAGCACTAGCAAGAATGGCTTAAACTTTGGCAATCTGAACCTGACTACATACTTTTGAACCATTTATTAATTTTCTCTTAGTTCTGGGAAAGCAGTCACAATCTAGGCAACCGTGAATAGACATTTAAGAAAAATAAACAGAAGAGGATGGTTCTCCCTACATCTCTTCCTTTTTGGTTTACCATTCACTGCTTATCAAGGATACTGTAAGGCAATAGCATTAAAATAGGACACATGCAAGAACACTTAAAATTTCATGGCAATGTTACTTACGTTAATGAATCTAAAACTTTTTTGAGATTTACTTATTAAAATATGTTTTTATTGATTTTAGAGAGAGAGGAAGGGATGCGAGAGAAAGAAACATCAATGCGAGAGAGCGACATCCATCAGCCCTCTCCTGTCCTTTACTATGCTGGGAAACTAGTCTAAATTTAAGAGAAATACGGGTGAGCCGTCCCCTGGCCGCCGTTCCCAATCTGCTGACCTGACTTAGCAGTGGGCAATGATGACTCAGGAAGGATGAGGCCGGTAATTGGATACTGCTGCCTGATTTCTATAGTGAGGACCAGATTCCCGGGCTCCCTTATCAGCATGTCATTCTAATTTGAAATTTGAGGGGGAAGAAAGGGTGGAGTATTAGTTGGGGTGATAACCCTGGGTGCACTAGAGAGAATATGAATCATAGGAAAGGAAGGCTGTGTACTTGGGTGTGTATGTGTTGGGGGGGAGGGGGTGGGTTGGGAAGAGGGGGTGTCCAAACACAGCTCATGTCTCTGCCTCCGAAGTTTGGGGCTCTGCAACCGCGCACGCGCTCTCACCTCCACGATGTCCGAGTTTGTCCGGCTCTCGTGCGGCTCGTTGTACTCCGTGTACTTGAGCAGCACCTTGTCCATGTCGGTGCTGGCGTACTGGAACAGCTTGTTGGTGCTGTTGAAGATGATCAGCGCGATCTCGCAGTCACACAGCACGCTCAGCTCATATGCCTTCTTCATCAGCCCGAATTTCCTCTTCGTAAATGTCACCTGGGAGAATGAAAGCAGGCAGGTTTTTTGTAAAGAAAAAAGAAATCAGGCCTTTAAAACACACACACACACACACACACACACACACACACACACACACACACACACACAAAACAGTACTTTTTTTTCTTTGTAAAACAAAGCGTGCTGTTGTCAGAGCCCTGGGGCACTAACACATTTGGGAAAGGAAGCAAATAAATCTAAAACTAATTTCTGCTCCGAATCTGAAAATGTGTGACTTCTAGCTGGCTGCTCAATGTGAAACTGTAAGTGCCAGATTTAATGGTAATGAAGGTGACCAGAGTACAGCTCACGGTTTCTTTGAACAATGGACGATTTGAAAAGAAATTAATTTCAGCATGGTTGACATCCTTCCCTTATAATTAAGGTTGGGACTCTTTTTTTTTTTTTTTTTTTTTTCCGACCACTTGAAAACTGGACATGGCCTGATGAACGTAGCATCTTATATCTAGGTCCAAAAAATTCTTACAATTGTGCAGTCTCATGCCACTTAATCGAAAACACGTGAAGGGATGTGGCTGGCGGTGCTTTCAGACAGTGTTGCGTTCTGTTTTCCAGAAACCCGGCAGGGAACTGAGGAGGACTCCAGCCGTCACACCATTAGGGTTTTGGTTTCATTCTTCTGTGTATCTTTCTTCCTCTCCCAGGCCAGAAACTGTACTGTTATCTTCGCCTCTCTTCCTTCTTTTAATCTAATCTATTACCAAGCCCCATAATTCCTTCCCTCAAAATGTTTCTCAGGTTCACACTTTCTTGTCTATTTCCCACATGGCTCTATCATTCGGGTCCTTATCAGCTTCCTGCCCGAGACGGTCTCCCTGTCTGGAATCATTCCGTCCTCAATTCATTCCCATCTTCCAGACCTCCTCTCTGCACCGCCTTCCTCCTGACAGGCCTCCGCCAGGCTCCGTCTCCGGCTTCCAATACTTCCTACCTGCCAGCGCTGCCAAACGCAAACCTGTATGCCACGATTCCCAATGTCAGTCCTCTCCTGATTAAACCCCAGTCTGCCTACCGAAAACTGTGAACATTCTTAATGATAAGCCCTTACACGACCCGGTGTTTCCCAGCAGGTCTCTGTCAAATATAATTTCCGTAAAATAGTCCTAAATAGAAAAAGTTCAGTGGCCCAACACATTTGGGAAAGGAGGCACGTGGGTATATGAAAGGCCGAGAAACCTTTTACACTTGGTTTAACCTGCCTCCCAAACCTACAGGACATTTGTTTCTTTGCTTATTTATTTTCGAGGAGCATGTACTACCATCCTTCAGAACTCATCTTTTTGAGGCATAGATGCTAAATCAGTGACTACACTGATTTAGTTATTGTTTTCAAAGGCAGCTAGGATTTACTTTTATTGCTCACTTTCTTACACAACTCATCTAGCAGAAGTCAGCTCAGTTTTATCTATTAATATTAACGGTGTGTCATTCCTATATCTAGATTCCCACCCCTTCGCTTTCTCTTCGTCTTTAGACACCCAATCGATGTCCTCCAGTCCTAAGTGTATCTGAATGTCCTAGGAATTTCAAAACCCCCAGAGTGCAAACTCCTTATCTTCACCCTCACATCTGCTCTCCTTCCTGCATTCCCCATCTCAACATAAACTCAGTCACCCAAACCAGAAACCTCAGCTGAGCTCCGAATCCCTGCCCTTCCCGCCATCCCACACACCTAAGTAAATGTGTTGAGAAGAAGTGTGGACTAGCAGACAGACAACCTGTCCCTTCTCCCCCTCTTCTCCACCCGGGTCTCCTCATTCCTCTACACTTTAGTTAATACTTATTGTTTTCCCATGATCCTTTATGTTTCCTCAGCAGCACATACTGTATTTTACAATTTGTGTATTTTTTGTGTGATCATTTGTTTAATGTCTGTCTCTTGCACTGCAGTGCTCTACAAGGGCCTGTAGCATTTTCACTGCTGTATCCCCAGGACAGCAGACACCAATGGGCACATGGTAGATGTCTAGTACAACAAAACTTACCAGGAAAAATAATTATGTGAAGTTTTTTAGAAATAGCAAATTGATGTGTGCTATATAAAATTCTGTGATAGCTTTCCCCATGAACTTCTTAGCACTTTAAAAAAGATAAATCTATACTTAAAATCAATATATATATATATATATATATATATATATATATATATATATATATAAAATCATATTTGTATTGAAGGCAGCATGGTAGAAAGGGAAGAACATGGGGCCCTGGATTTGCAGGCTGAATCTGCTATTTACTAGTCATGAGTAATTCACTTAATTTCTTTGAGTTTGATTTCTCATCTGTAAAATGAAAAGAATTCCTGTTCAGGATTTCTGTGAGGATTACATAAAATAACGTATGTACAGTATCAAGCATTGTGCTTAAATTGGAAGCTCAAAAAAACAAACAAAAAAAAACTTAGTTCTTATTCCTTTCTGAGCTGACTTACAGAGAAAAAATACTTACAAAATATATCAGTCGTGGTAGCTTGAAGAGTCTAGTGATTAAGGCTATTTGAGGATCTTATTATTCCTTATAGAATGATAAAGTGAACTATAGAATCCCCATTGGTCACTCTTTGGAAAATATAGCATTTAGGTATTTACCAGCCCACAGAGCTAGTCAATATGTACTGGGATGTGTTATTATAGTTACATTTCAATTTAGACAATTTTTCCTTGTAATAATTACCAATGTTGCATCTTCTATTTTATTTTATTGATTGTCTTACTAAAGTGCTTCTAACAAATATAGCTAGCGTTTTATTTTAATATTTGGTTATCATATTAATTTAGAAATGTTTTATTCTGGTTCATTCAGATGAGCCATAATCAGTATTAAGGATGAGCTAAATAAAGACAGTCATTTTGGAATGAATAAGAAGCATAATCATTAATCATAGATTTATACAAAATGTCTTTTAATATTTCTTTTAGATGCAATTTAGTTATGCAAATATACCTGCACATTGGTATTTTGTTCCGTGAAATAGGCTACAGAGTAGGTTCAATATAGAAGGCACTGACCCAAAATACTTTCATATATCTAAAACCACTTTTAATCAGACTTTCATGACCACAAACTGTAGGTGGAATGTCTCAATACAGTATGGTTTCTGTTGTACTGAAACCTCAGAATTTAGCACGTTACAACACTCGCCATCAAAGTACATTTCAGCACAGAAATATCATTAAAGCCACTATTTGTTTTTACTTTTAGGTGCTCCTTAACTTTTGTATAACCAAGCAGGCCACTGGATAATGCCAAAAGAGTTGGCGCATGTAGTTTCTTTTCATCAAAACTGCAAACTGAAATGATGATGACTATACTGAAGCATTTAAGAAAATACCTTCAAAATCTTAACTGCTCTAAATTTTAATTCCATACTATGTTCATATTCTTCATAGCATACTCCAAAATGTATTTCATAATGCCTTTTCTTATTGTTCATAGTTAGATGAGATAAAATGATTTTTAAGCATGATGTTTTCTAAAGAGACCTGGACTATTACTCTTTGTTGAAAATATGCCACTCAGTGACAGATTGCAATTCAGAACTTTTATACTTAAATACAACAATGTATTGCAATCATTACGTTTTTCATAACGTGACAATAGTTTGTGATGGGACAAATCCATTTCTATTTCAGGACTGTATTCTGAGCTGTAGGTGAGATAGAAAGCTGTTTTTACGGCCAGTAGGCAAAGAGAGGCTCTTTTCCAAGTTGAAATGTAACTAACACATCCCAGTACATATTGACAATCCAGGTGCACTGAGAGGAGGATACAGCCAATATTATTTATGTTAGCACTAGAACTTGAAATTTAGTTTTCTGAATTAGAGAGACATAATACATGCAGGGGAAGCAAAATGACTTTATACGTAATGACCATTTTATGCTTTTTCTTTACCTCTTGAAAAGGCCCCAACTGTAACGATGATATATTAAGATGTTTAAGTATTAAGTTTTATAGTAACCTCAAGTTTAAATCCTAGCATAAAGCCTAGCATAATCTCAACAATTACTCTAGAACTTAACTAAATATAACTCAGGCACTGCAACAAGAATTTGAAATTGAGAAAAGTCACATTCATTCAATACAACTCTATATAATTTAGTCATAAAGAAATTAGGAAAATCTATTTACATAAACAGAAATCAATCCAAGCAATTGTTATTGAGCGTTTTCTACATGCCAAACCTTATGCTAAGCAATATTGATTGAGTCTTCTCTTCGCCAGACTTTTGTGCTAGGAATTGTGGGGCTTCTGTTTTGCATGTTATCTCCCTAATTATTGTCTCTTAGTGCTGGAGAAAGAGTCACTTAATTCCTTAACGTTGAAAAAGCATTTTCTTTATTTTAAACAAAATGTATTATTGGCTAATAGTGTTATATTTTTAGTCACAGGTAAGTGATCTGAAATTGTACTTTTATCTAGTGTTGGGTGATTTCAGTTTTTGTTTTCTGAACAACTTTTTCTCTAGACTGAGCAAGGAAAATAATAGTAGATGTTATTCTAATTGAGATGAACATGAAACAAAACCTACCATATTGGTTATTTTTTTAAAATTGAATAATATGGTTTATTTTATACTTCTAAAGATTTTTTTTATTAGTCCTCATCCTAAGATATTTTTCCATTTCCTTCCTTCCTTTCTTCTTTCCTTCCTTCCTTTTCTTTCTTTTTTTAATAGAGAGAGTGAAAGGAAAGGGGAGATACAGAGAGAGACACATCGATTGGTTGCCTTCCACACATGCCTTAACCTAGACATGTGCCCTGACCTGGACAGGGGATTGAACCTGCAACTGACTAAGGTACAGGCCCTTGACCCGAATCAAACTGGGACCCTTTAGTCTGTAGGTTGAGACTTGATCCAATGAGCCAAAGCGGCTAGGGCTATTTCATACTTTTGACAACTCCCTTCCTACAAAAATTCTTTTTAGCCTCTCTCTGTTTCCATAAAACTACCCTTTCTTGATTCTGCTTA